TTTTTTTTTAGAAAGAGTTGGAAGGGAGGAAGGGAGGGAGAGAGGGAGAGAGGGAGAGAGAATAACATCAATGTGAGAGAGACACATCTACTGGTTGCCTTCCATACAAGCCCCCACCAGGGCTGTAGATCGAACCTGTAACCCAGTTATGTGCCCTTCACCAGGAATCAAGCTCGCAACTCTTCATTGCATGGGCCGATGCTCCAACCACTGAGCCACACCAGCCCGGGCAAACATCTGATCTTTTTTTAAAAAATTATTTTTATTAAATTTATTGAGGTGACATTGGTTAATAAGATTACATAGGTTTCAAATGTACTCTTCTATGATACATCATCTGTATATTGCACTGTGTGCCCACCACCCAAAGTCACCATATATTTGACCTCAAATACCCTTTACAACCCCTCTACCCCCATTCTGTCTGGTAACTACCATAATGTTGTCTATATCTATGAATTTTTTGTTTGTTTGTGTCTTGTTTGTTCACTTGTTGCTTTCAGTTTTATATCCCACATGAGTGAAATCTTACGGTTCTTGACTTTTTTAGTCTGACTTGTTTTGCTTAGCATGTTATTCTCAGGGTCCATCCATGTTGTCATAAATGATAGTGTTTCCTCTTTCCTTATGGCTGAGTAGTATTCCATTGTCCACATGTACCACATCATCTTTATCCAATCATCTATTGAGGGACACTTTGGTTGTTTCCATGTCTTGGCCACCATGAATAATGCTGCAATAAACATGGGGTACATATATCGTTTCCCAATAAATGTTTTTAAATTTTTGGGTAGATACCCAGGTGAGGGTTTGCTTGGTCATGTGGTAACTTTATTCTTAATTTTTTGAGGAACCACCATACTGTTTTCCATAGTGGCTGTACCAGTTTATATTCTCACCTGCAGTGAATGACAATTTCTTTTTCTCCACACCTCTCTAACACTTGTTATTACTTGTTTTGTTGATAATAGACATTTTAACAGGTGTGAGGTGGTATCTCATTGTAGTTTTGATTTATATTTCCCTAATAGCTAGTGAAGTTGAGAAAAGTCTCTTCAGTAAATACTGCTGGGAAAATTGGAAAGCCACATGCAAAAGAATGAACTAGGTTGCTGATTGTCCCCATATACAAAAATTAACTCAAAATGGATAAAAAATATAAGGCCTAAAAAAATAAATTACATAGAATAAAACATAAGTACTAAATTTGTAAAACTTGATCTTAGATAGGATTTTGTGAATTTGACCCTGAAGGCAAGGACAGTAAAAAGCAAGAATGGGACTGTATCAAATTAAAAAGCTTCTACCCAGCAAAGAATCCATCAACAAAACAAAAAAGCAACCAACCAAATCGGAGATGACTTTTGTAAACAACAGCTCCGACAAGGGGTAAATATCCAAATTATATAAAGAAATCATACAACTTAACAACAAAAATACAAAAAGTCCAATTGAAAAATGGGCAGAGGACCTGAACACTTCTCCTAAGAAGGTATACAAGTGGCAAATGGATATATAAAAAGATGCTCAAATTCCTTTCTCCTTTATTAAAGTATCCTGTATCTTGTGATTACCATCACTTCCGAGGATTTCAAGGATAGCTACATTTTGAGAGCTGAATGCACACACATACACGTGTGCGCACATACACAAACACAATATGTACAAAAAGTGAAAGATAGGTAGATCACAGTGAAAAGTACAATCATATGTGTAATTAGAGTTCCACAAAGGAGGTAGAATGTGTCAGAAGCTGAATGTGAAGAGATACTGGTTGAGCATTTTCTAAAAGTAATGAAAGACATCAACCCATAGATTCATGTAACTATGAATCCCAAGCAGATTGGTAAAGAAAGCTTCAGCTGGCACCAGGCAGGCGTGGCTCAGCAGTTGAGCATCAGCCTGTGATCCAGGAGATTGTGGTTTGATTCCTGGTCGGGGCACATGCCCGGGTTGCGGGCTTGACCCCCAGTAGGGGGCGTGCAGGAGGCAGCTCTTGGATGACTCTCTCATTATTGATGTTTCTATCTCTCTCTCCCTCTCCCTTCCTCTCTCTGAAATCAATAAAGACATATTTGGGGGGGGGAAACTTCAACTAGGCATATCATAATTGAATGATAAGTCCTAAAGGACAAAAACTAAGAGAAAAATCTTATAAGCAGTAGGAGGATAAAAGTCATTGATTTCAAAGGAACAGCAATAACACTGATAGCTCATTTGACAACAGAAAGGACACAAAGCTAGATGAGAAGGAAATTACTTCTTTAAAGTCCCAAATGAAAATCATTGCCAACATAGAACTTTATGTTCAGTGAAAATGTCTTTCAAAAGTGAAGGTAGTTCCTGGCCAGTGTAGCTCAGTTGGTTGGAGCATTGTCCTGTACACTGGAAGGTTGCTGGCTTGATTCCTGGTCAGGGCACATACCCAGGTTGCGAGTTCAGTCCTTGGTCAGGGTATGTAAGGGAGGCAACGGATCCATGTTTCTCTCTCACATCTATGTTTCTCTCCCTCTCCCTCTCCCTCTCCCTCTCCCTCTCCCTCTCCCA